CAAGACAGAAAATAACAAATGCTGATGAGGATGTGGGGAGATTGGGACTCTCATACACTGCTGGTGGGACTGGAAAATGGTACAACCACTGTGGAAAGCAGTATGGTGATTGTGACTCCTTAAAAAGTTGAAATTAGAAATACCATTTGACCCAGCCATTCCATTACTAGGTATATACCCTAAAGAAGTGAGAGCCAGGACAAGAACAGCCATATGCATACCCATGTTCACCGCAGCACTATTTACAATAGCCAAAAGATGGAAACAACCTAGGTGTCCATTAACTGAAGAATCGATAACCAAATTATGGTATGTGCACACAATGGAATAATATGCAACCCTAAAGAATAACATAGAATCTGCAAAACACCGCATAATATGGAGGAACTTGGAGGACATTATGTTGAGTGAAATTAAGTCAATCACAGAAGGACAAATATTGTATTAGTCCAGTATAGTAAAAAGGAAAGGTTTATATATGGAAGGAAATTTTCTTTGTTGGTTACCAGGGTGGGAGGGGAAGGGAAGGAACACTGTTAAATAGGTAGAGACAAGTATTGATTTGGGTGAAGAGAAGGGAAATGTACCAAATGTGAGTGATTACCATGGTGGCATTGAGGAAGAGGAAGGCATAGAGAGCTACATGAGAGGTACAGACAACAAAGATGAACCCTTTTGCACATACAGCACTGCATTGTCAGTGAAGGCAAACATGGGTATATGGGTATACAGATGTGTGGACAGGCTGAACTATTAGGTATGTCTATGCAGGGGGAGTGTGCCCAAGACCATGTATAGGGTTGGCAGACAATGTTCCTATAAGTGTATTTGTATGTTCAGTAAGAATTTCCAGGTGTATAGTAGAGCTGACAAGAAACAAGATTGTAGTCACTTCTTGGACACAGCTAGCCACCCAAAGGAAGTGAGTAGTTGAATCTGTGGGCTCAGGACCACAGTCACAGAGGACATCAAGCTTAATTGGCCTAACATACTAAACAAAACATTGTTCCACCTACTACTTTGGCAAGTAGTGACAGGGATCTTAAGAGCTTGCAAACAGCCATCTAGATGCAACAATGGGTCTCTCCTCATCCAATGTGAACAAAACTCAAAATCATTTGAAAAAAAGGACCAGGTTTGCTGGTCTTATAGAACCTGGTAGAACCACTGAGACTATGGCCCCTAGCTGCCCTCCAGGTCTGCAATCGAACCCACTCCTGTGGCTTCCAGCCAAACAAAAGACAGGCATATGAGGTGAACATTTATACTAACTAGACTTACTTCTTGGAGAGAACAATCATGGGAGAATAGAAGGGCTGTGTATGCACAGGGAGATAGCTTAAGGAGCAGGAGTGCATGGAGGGAAGGACACAGGGAAGAAGTAACTATGGGGAAGCAGTGGGAAGGGAGCTGTTGCATTGTGGTAAATTGTAGTCAATGTCATGAGACAACATGTATGTGAACTGCTCAAAGGAAAGTGAATTTGCTCTGTAAACTTTCACCCAAATCACAATTAAAAAAAAAAAAATCAGAAAACAGTTTCTTAGTAATGAAGAAAATTTCCTATGAAAAATATTGATATAGAGGAGGAGTTCACGATAAAGGAGATATTAAATTTAGGACTCAAGAACCTGATTAAAGCCCTTGCATCAAATTATTTTTGTCATATTACCTAATCGTATGTAAATTGGATGTAACAATAGATATTGTGTAATTCCCTTGAAAACTGGAAATGATTCTTCTAGGTCACAGCATGCAAACCATGTGACAGGAAGTAGCCAGGGAGCTTCAGGCTTAGGAGGGCGTTCCTGTTAGAAAACAGAAAGCAAAAATAATAATTCACTAAAACACTAAAACAACTATGAAATACACTTTCACTTTTTTGCAAGTGAAAACTCAACCTTTCATAAAACCAAAGCCAAAACCAAAACCAAATCCAAAACCAAAACCAAAACCAAATCCAAAACCAAAACCAAAACCAAACCCATTGCTTTCCAACTCATAACAACCCAATAGGACAGAGTTGAATGGTCCCATAGGGTTTCCAAGGGATTACTTTTTTCTGTAATCACAGAAGGACAAATATTGTATTAGTCCAATATAGTAAAAAGAAAGGTTTATATATGGAAGGAAATATTTGTCCTTCTGTGATTACAGAAACAGACTGCCACATCTTTTTCCTGTGCAGCTTGTGGGTTCAAACCACCAACCTTTTGGTTAGCAGCTGAGCACTTAACCACTGCACCACCAGGGCTCCTTCCAAACTCTAATTATTGTTGTTATGTATTAAAAATAACTATTTACCTAGGACAAATAATAAAAAATGGTTAAATAGAAATGGTGTTGAATCCATTCTACCTGTGGACCTTTGCACAAAAATGCAGCTGATGAAAGCTTTTCTGGTTGAAATTTGAGGAGAGCAAAGTTGACCTGATGATCTTTGTCAGGGTTAATGATTTCATTTTTTTCTAGAGAACTACAGTCTCCAAATCAGATCCCCTTATTTTCTTGCCCTGAGGAGATGGAAACAGCTGAGTGGTGGAGCAATATGGATAGGAAGACTGTTGGCAATCTCATCCCAGCTGAGATAAGTGAATGTCTAATCATTTCAGATTTTACTAGAATTTTCTAGCAAACAATATTATGCCATCTGTCAATATTTCATGGAGTACTTATAGGTGGATTAACAGTTTAAAAAAAAAAAAGAGAAGAACTTCACCCAAATCACAATAAAAAAAAAAAAAAAGGAAGAAAAAAAAAAAAGAAAAGAAAGAAACCGTTGTGGTTACAGACCGAAACCAGATTTTTTGGGAGATATCATGAATATTTGTCTGATGGTCTGTGCTACACTTTTAAAAAACAGCTCCATTGAGATGTAATTAATGTATCATGCAATTTACCCATTTAAAGTGTACAATCGAATGGATTTAAGTATATTCACAGACATATGTGATCATCAACACTTCAAGTGTAGGGCATTTCATCACCTTAAAAAGAACCTGAACCCTTTAGCTATCACCTCCCCATCCCTGTAATCCTCCCAAGGCATCCATTACCCTACTTTCTATTTCTACAGATTTGTCTTACTTATTACTACGGATGTGTCATATAAGTGAAATCATATGTAGTCTTTTGCGACTGGTTTACTTTACTGAGCTTAAGGTTTTCAAGAGTTATCCATGTTATGATGTGTATCAGTACTTCAGGCCTTTTTATGACCAAATAATATTCCATTGTATGGCTATATCACATTTTGTTTATTTGTCATCAGTTGATGGGCATTGGGTTGTTTCCACTGTATGGCTATTATGAATAATACTGCTGTTAATATTCATGAACTAGTTCTTGTGTGAATCTAGTTTTCACTTCTCTTGGATATATACCTAGGAGCAGAATTGCTGGGTCATATGATAATACTATCATTAATCATTTGAGGAACTGCCAGATTGTTTTCCAAAGCAGCTGCATCATTTTGTGTTCCCAGGAGCTCTCAAAGCATAGTGCCTAAGGCATTTGACTGCTAACCAGAAGGCTGGCGGTTCAAACCCATCAGCCATTCCTCAGAAGGAAGATCGGGCAATCTACTTCTGTAGTGATACTATCTCAGAAATCCAAGGAGGGGTCACTATGAGTCGGATCCATCTTGTGGCAGTGAGTTTGGTTTTTGGTTACTACCAGTGAGTGGGAATTCTGATTCCTCAGAGGAGTCTCCAGCCTGCTGTCTGACCTACAGATTTTGGACTTGCCAGCCCCCACTATCTCCTAAACTAATACCTGAAAGTAAATCTCTCTTTCCCTCTCTCTCTTTCTATGTATATCTTACTGCTTCTGTTTCTCTAGAGAATTCTGACTAATTATTTGTTGGTGCAAATTTAGATTGTTTTCACTGTTTGGCTACTGTGAATAATGCTGCAATAATCATTGATGTACACGTATTTGTGTTCTTGCTTTCATTTCTTTTGTGCATATACCTAGGAAGGAACTTTGGTGGTGTAGTGGGTAAGGCATTAAGCTGCTAACCAGAAGGCCGGTGGTTCAAACCCACCAGCTCTTTTGTAGGAGGAAGATAAGGCAATCTACTTCCCAAAAGATTTACAGCCTTGGAGACCCTATAGGGGTTTCTATGAGTCAGAATCAACTCGACAGCAGTGGGTTTGGTTTTCTGGTTTATGGTAATTATACATTTAAATTTTTGAGGAATCTCCAAACTGTTTTCTACAGTGGCTGCTATCATTGTGCAATCCGACCAGTAATGGATGAGGGTTCCAATTTTTCCATATACTTGTCAACACCTGTTGTTTTTTGATCATAGACACTTTGGGGTAAAGCTGATCTCTCATGTTGTTTTGCTTTGTATTCCTCTAATGATTAATTATGTTGAGCATCTTTTCAAGTTCTTGTTGGCTGTTTGTATTTCTTCTTTCGTGAAATGTTTATTCAAGACTTTTTCCCATTTTAAAATTGAGTTGTTTGTCTTTTTGTTGTTAAGTTGTAGGAGTTCTTCAGGCATTCTGGACATTAAACTCAGATATAGAGTTCCCCCAATTTCCCAACCCCCCAATCTATAGGTTGTCTCTTCACTTTGTTGATAATATCCTTTGATGAACAAAAGTTTTAAATTTTGATGAAGTCTCATTTATCTAGTCTTTTGTTGCTTGTGCTTTTGGTGTCATATCTAAGAATCCATTGTTAAATACTAGTTCCTGAAGCCTTGCTCCTGTGTTCTTTCTAAGAATCTTCTGGTTTTAGTTCTTAAATTTAGGTCCTTCATTCATTTTGAGTTCATTTTTGTATATCGTGTGGAGTATTGATCCACTTTATTCTTCTGCATGTGGAAATCCAGTTGCCATAGCACCATTTATTAAAGAGACTATTCTTGAATGGACTTAGCATCCTGGTTGAAAATCAATTGACCATAGGTGTATGGGTTTATTTCTGGACTCTCAATTTTATTCAATTGGTCATCCTGGTTGAAAATCAATTGACCATAGGTGTATGGGTTTATTTCTGGACTCTCAATTTTATTCAATTGGTCTACATGAATAAAATATACCAGCTGTTGTTGTTAGTTGCCACAGAGTTGATTTCAACACATGATGTGCAGAGTAGAACTCTGGGTTCAATGCTATTTTCAGTGCTGTGACTTTTCAGAAGCAGATTGTCAAGGCTGTCTTTTGAGGCACATCTGTGTGGGTTTGAACTGCTAAACTTTTGGCTAGTAGTCTAGTGCTTAATCATTTGTTTCATTCCATGCTTATCCTTATACCAGTGTCAGACTGTTTTGATTACTATAGCTTTATGGTGTGTTTTGAAATCATGAATTATGAATCTTCCTACTGTGTTCTTTTTTCAAGATTGCCTGAAGATTGGCTTTTCCATTTCTGCAAAGAAGGATATTAGAATTTTGATGAGGATTGTATCAAATCTATAGATCTCTTTGTGCATTATTGACAGCTTAACAATAGTAAATCCTCCAATCCATGAACAAAGAATGTCCTTCCATTTATTTAGGTTTTCTGCCTAAGGCATTTAATTGCTAACCAGAAGGCTAGCAGTTCAAACCCACCAGCCACTCCTTGGAAGGAAGATTGGGCAATCTACTTCTGTAGAGATACTGCCTTGGAAACCCAAGGAGGGGTCACTATGAGTTGGGATTGCTTGATGGCAGTGTTTGGTTTGGCCTTAATTTCCTATTCAGAATGCTCATTGCTGATGTATAGACCAAAATGATTTTTGTGTGTTGACCTTGTATAGTAGCTTCCTTGTGAATTCTTTGGGGGGGGGGGGTTCTACATATAGGCTTATTTCATCTGAGAAAAGGGATAGTTTTACTTCTTACTTCCCAATTTGGATATCTTTTATTTATTTTTTCTTGCCTACTTGCTCTGGCTAGGACTTCTGGTACAATATTGAATAGCATTGGGTAGTGGGCATCCTTGTTCCTGGTCTTTAGGGGAAAGCTCTCAGTCTTTTTCCATTGAGTATGCTGTTAGCTATGGGTTTTTCATAAGTACACTTTATCAGATTGAAGAATTTCTCTTTTAGTCTTACCTTGTTGGGTGTTTTTTTCTTTTTTTTATCATGAAAGGCTGCTGGGTTTTTCAGATGCCTCCTCTGCATTGATTGAGCTTAATCGTGTGGCTCTTTCCTTTTTGTTCTATTAATATGGATCACTTAATTCCAAATTAATTAATGTAGATTAATTATATTAATCTATTAATTGATTTTCTTATGTTGAACCATCCTTGCATTCCTGAGACAATGCTGCTTGATGATGTTATATAATCTTTTAAACATGCTTTTCGGTTTGGTTTGCTAGCATTTTACTGAGCATTTTGCATGTATATTCATAAAGGATAGTTTTTGTTTTTTTTCCCTTGTGTCCTTTGTCTGGCTTTGGTATCAAAATGAGCAGAATGAATTAGGAAGTATTCCCTTCTCATCCATTTTTTTTTTTTTTTAAATTTTAGAAGAATTAGAATCACTTCTCCTAGGAACGCTTGATAGAATTCTCTACTCCTGGAATTTTGTTGGGAGGTTTTTGATTAATGATTCATTATCTCACTTTCTTCTTAAGTCAATATGGAAATTTATATATTTCCAGAAGGTTGTCCATTTCATTTAGGTTATCCAATTTGTTGGCATAAAATTGTTCATAATATTCTCTGATGATCCTTTTTATTTCTGTAGGATTGTTTGTAATGTCCTCCTTTTATATAATTTTAGATATATACATCTTTTTTTCTTTGTCAGTATAGATACACATTTACCAATTTTATTGATTTTTTTTTAAAAAAACTTCTGGTTT